TGGAGACCCCTGGTCTAGCCCATAAAATATTCTGTTTTGTTGAAACACTTGTTTTGTATTTGACAAAAATGTTTGTCTGTCATAAATTCTGTCTTCTGTATAGTTTATGGTCAACAGAAATGATTCCAAAGTTGGTAAAAGTATATAAAATGTCTGCTCCTTCATTGTCAACAGTAAAAAACATAGACAATGACAGTGAAGGACGATCAAAAACACATATGTTGAAGAAAATATCAATGGTAGACAATGTAGTTCCACAATGTAATCAATGATTAAAGGTATCTGATTTTATGAGTAGGATTATAGTCATTTCAGAAAAAAGATAAGTCAAATTTTACAAGTAGCATTTAGAGACTGTTTTGTGCAATGTGGGCTTGATTTTTATCAAATTCCAATCACAAACAAATTGGGAATTGGAAGCTTTCTCAAAGCTTGTCATTTTTAGACAAATTATTCGCCTCTGATGACACCATTCATACCTGTGAAAACAACTTTACCTGAGTTAAACGACCAGTTCAAAAGGATAAAAGCCAGTGGTTCTACAAATTTATTTCTTACCATTAGACAACTTTTTAAAGATGCTATCGAAATTAAAAATATATCTGATTAATTTTAATCGTAAAGAAGAAACCTCATCCTAGATGCATTAAAAAAACAATGCAGATTTTCAAAAAATATCATGTCATCAAAGAAATACATTAAAGAAAAGAAATGCCAGGAAAAAAATTTCAGATGAAGGTCAATAAATACCAAAAAACAATGTAGGTACCATTCAGAAGATTCTATTTAATGCACCTGCCTACATTACGCTTAGAAATCTGAAAATTGAAGGATTCTACATACAAATTTTTGGAACATCCACTCAATTCGCCATATTTGGTTATTTCTCAATTTCATCTCTAAACTCGGTTTCATCGTTCTTGGCGTATGCCTGAAATAAGCTACTACGGAATTTTTAATATTTGTCTCTCTCTGATACACAAATGCGTATTTCAATTGTGCGAGTCACGTTTGTCATGGTAAAGTGCGATGAGAAGGGAATGAAGAGACCACTCACGTCTCCCAGTATTGTAGCAATAACACCGATGCGTTTGGCCGATACAGTGTCTGTGATAAGTTCAGCCTTTTTACGAATACAGATAGCTGCCACTGGAAGAGGTAAACGAATCGAACTTAGACAAGGAAAGACAGATGAAACAACTTATTGCAAGTGTTTTTACACGCACACGCCAAGAAAGATGAAAACATCTTTACTTTAAATAAAAAGTCACTTACCTTTTTGAGTACTTCACAGGCAATAGGAACAGCAGAGTTGACAGGGTTGGTAATGATACCAATAAGCGCACATGGTGCTACTTCTGCTGCGCACTCGGCTAAAGCTTTTACAATTCCAGCGTTTGTGTTGAACAAATCATCTCTGGTCATACCTTAAAAAGTGAAGAATGTGTATATGTTGTCACAACGTAAATAAAGAAAATTTACCAGGTTTTCTAGGTACACCAGCTGGAATAATAATTACGTCAGCGTTTTTCAAAGCATCCTTTAGACATTCAGGACCATTGAATCTGAAATGAACAACTATGTTAGAGCTACACACACAGAGAAAATTTTCAAATAAAAAAAATAACATTCATGATGAAGAGACCAAATCTAACAGCAACTGTTGTGTTGTGGTAAGAATAACAAAAGATTAAGTGAAAGACAACAATGCCAAGCATGCACTGTTTGATAATTTACATAAAATTAAATAAACAGTCATACTTTCCAATGCAGTAAGAAATTTAATACCCTGTATAGAGTAACATTTATTATGATTAAAAATCAATTAATGACGCAATACATGATATCAATTTTGATTTAAAATATATTAAAAATGATGTTTATATCAGGATTTAAACATAATAATCCACTTATTGTGAATTATTACTTAAAATGTAATATAGAAACATCTATTGATTAAGTTAAAATCCTTGTAATCACATATTTATCAATGATGATTGGTAATTATTTGTGTAGAAAACTTTTACTATTGATAAACAATTTGAATAAGACCATGATTAGTTATATTTATTTACATTCTGTATTTTAAATCAATATACTTTTGTTTTCTTCAAATATCTTTTGGGGAATAAACCAAAAAAGTAATAAAATAAATTATTTTATTTGAAAGTTTAACTTCCAAATAAGAAATTCTTCCAATTTTTTATTGTTGGAAAATTTTGAAAAAATATTTTTTATACATAATTTAAATCCTATAGTATATTGGTGGTAGGCAAGTTTTTAGTAACAATGGTGAAGTTTCAACAATATTACATAGGTCAAGAACTTTAAATGTTCCCATCTTTATTATCTTCATTCCACTTCTAAATAATACGAAAAATTTGAAGGACAGGTCCATTTTAATTTCAAAAGAGAGACTTTCATTTAATATTTTTAGCCCTCAATTTCATTTGCTAGCAACAGCAAATGTTACTCTTACAATTTAAAAAAGTAAAGGGGTCAAGCAGTACATAAATTTAAAGGGTGTTTAATTTCTTCTCCACTGGTAGTCTAATTTAATATTTTTTGCTCAGAAATTACCAAACAAGTGCGTTCTTAAGTTAAAAAAGAAGTAGTTGGAACTTTGTGAACAATATGTGAAAATATTGTGAAAAACTGTCACATGATGTTGATGCAACCCTAAATCACAATCCCGAACCTAGTCATATAGACATGGAATCTTTAAAACTAAAAGTGGAGGTGGAAAAACTGTATAGTTACTGAAAAACAATTAATTATCTGGTAAAGACGACATAACGCAGGAAATAATTAGAGCAATGGAAGAAATATGTATTGATGCAATCCATGTACCTAATATCTTAATTCTTCCTTTACAAAACAGTAGCCAAAAAATAAATCAACAACTTCCTTTCTATACTGTTTAGATGAACACCTATATGGGTAGTATATTATAAGAAAAGACTTGCAATGATGGAGACACTGATAGCAACAGGTGACCAAATAATCACAAACAAGATGTGTTGATGAGACACATTTAGTGTAAGTAATTTTTGTAATTGTATTTTTTTGAACCAGTAGTCTCTTGAGAAAATTAATCATAGGACATTCCAAACATACTACTTAATGTCTATCCTTTCATGGTTGATATATTAGCCACCCAGATCTGACAATTTTAGACTCCTTTCTCTGGAGAATTATCAAACAAAAAATTTACAAAACACATAATCAAACTTTGTACAAGAATTCGATACACATAATCAGAAATTACTCTACTAAGAACAACTAAGAAATGAAATGAAAAGTATTCGTAATTTCTTTAACAAATGTGTCCAATTAGAGGTGGATTGGCAGAGACAACTAAGATTTAAACTAAAATTATGTTTCCATGACAGACTATTGATATAGGCTGTTCTTTTGTGACTTTTGTGGGTTTTAAAATTTTAAATTGTCATAATTTTGTTATGCATGAGGCCTAACTTATGAAAAGAAAACTGTATAAGAAATATATGTCTATGCTTTGGTGGTCTAAATTGTTAAATTGTGGATGAGTAGAATCATACTGCTGCCTGAGATCTATTGTATCCTCCTTTTATTGCTATTTCTCCTTGGACCAAGAAATTTGCTTTTATCTTTTATGAAGCTTTCATCTTACTTCCTTAGTTACCAAATTGCTTTATTGTTCAACTATTGTAAATGAAAATGTCAAAAATAGAATATTTTTAATTAAAATTATGGTTTATTCTCACTCATTATAGTAGTAAATATAGAAATGACACAATAAAACAGTTTCAGAACACTTAATTATAATAAAATGGAATAGCCACTTACCCCTTTACTTTAGCTGCAGTCTCAATGTGAGACAAATCAGCAGCTACTCCAGGAGTGTGTACAAGATCGTACAAAGACAACTGGCTGACCAAAGGGTTGATCTTCAAAAGCAATGAAAGGGGCTGACCAATACCGCCAGAGGCTCCACATACTGCTACTTTGAAGTTGTTCTATAAGGTATTATGTAATACATTATTTTCAACAAATTAATCCAATCATATTAAAGATAATTCTAATTATAATATCAGATAATGATAACAATAGTAAATACTTTTGAAATAAACAATGGAAAATTCATAAATCTACAAATCTTGCCTTTGGAATTTAATTTTAACTTGACATTGAAATTTTAACCAAATTTTTTAAAACTAACCTGTTTTGATGTGCTGAAGCTTCTAGTTGCTACTACAGTTGGTCTTACGATTCTGGAAAACATTTTTGAATTTATATTTTAACCTCTTCAATTTGGAAAAACTTTGACCTTTCGCAGTAGAGGTCGACCAAAAGTACACAGAGCTGTGAAAGAAATGGCAGATAAGAAAAGTGATTTTTCCAGTTCTGATTATTTAGGTACGTCAACTGTCACATGATCAGTCACGTGATATTTCATTGGTGGGTGCTCTCATGATACTATGACTATAAGATAAGATATTGCGCATGTTTTTGTGACGTCATTGGAGACTTGCACGTTAGAAATGTCAGTTTTTGTATATATCAATAAATAATCTTTAATAAATAGTTTGGAGATATCCTTATGTGTACGATTATTGTAATTATTAAACCTCTTAACTTATTTTCGTCTAGTAATTTCATCACAGAATGCATACAAATCTCATTTAACTTTAACAAGAATTCAAATTCTAGTCTCCAATGACGGCATGCGCGAACCCGTCCGATTTTGAGCTACGGGAAGATCCTATCTTGTTATTCATAGTATCATGGGTGCTCTTTCAAATTTATGTTAAAATTATACGTCATTGTCTTTCAACCAGTTATGATAATAATTAATAATTGCACAATCGGTAAATTTACACTTCAAAAACTAATTAAATTATTTAATTAATACTTACTAACACAAAAATAGCTGTTTAGCTCGCTCTGATCAAGACACAATCATTGAAATTGTGACATTGACGTCTATTTTTTAGGTTAACATAATACAAACTTTTTTCAGAGTAGTTAGTGGGAGGATATGTGTATACTTATTTTTTTATAAATTATGAAGAATTTTCAGGATAAAAGGGCATCTATAGCTTTAGCGAAAAATTCAACTGTAATTAACGATGATATATTTAAAAAACAATTAGAAAATTGCTTTCAAGTTTTAACTGAAAGGAAAGAGATTCATAGTGAGATTATAGCTAACTGTTAATTTTAAAAACTAATATTTCTCTTCTTTTAGCTACAAACAATCTGTATAATTCAAAACCTGATATCATCAAGGAATTTTATGCCTCCCTGTTAACAGTTACAACAGAATTTGTTAGACAAAATGTTAATAGAGAGGACATTACATTCTTTTTACATGATGAGTGTGGTTTATCCTCAGAACGAACAAACCTGTATATAAGCATGTTGGAAGAAAAGAAATGCCAACTACAAATAGCTTTATTAAATATTGGAAGTGCTCTGCCACATGTAACAGATATAAAGTGGAAAATAGACTACATAGTAAAGGTAGGACTTAATTTGTTTTCTTTTAATTCTATTATTCATATTTTTGTATTAATCTTTTTTTTTTAGTCTAGTGAAGTAGAATCTGCAGAAGGGCCCTTATTTAGAATATGTTTAATTGGTGAACAGTATGATATAGAAAAGGATAGTAAAGTTTTAAAACCTATTCATTTCACTTGCAACTCAGTAGAGTTATTAGATTTAATTTATAAGTTTAAAGATGCTCTTAGACACTGTAACTCAGTAACACAAAGGGTTTTCTAATGTAAAAATTTTATTTAGCCAAATATATATTATATTTTTAATTTTATTCTTTCTGTTACTCATTTAAATAAAAAAATTAAGTGAATCAACATTATGTTCTTCTAAATCTTTTTCAAGACCTCTGCTGATAAGTGAACTGTGTGATACATACAGTCACCTATCTGGGTTTGTGGAAGAAATAGCCTCCCACAACAGCCAGTTTCTGAGTATTTCTTTACACTTAATAAAGTTGTTACAGGTGCATTGAACTGCGGACATATTCAATGATCACTTCAAACAGTGAAGCATTCATTTATCAATTCCTAATTTTTTTGTTCTTTCCGATGTTGGAATGAGGTTCCCAATATCACAGTAAGGTATAAGCAGTTTTGATAAAGAAAAAGACAAACAAATAAACACAGATGTTTTCTTATAGAAAATTTTATTTTCCAATTCACTAAATTAGATAAAGTGTTGAAAATGTTACTCTTTATTGCTAAAAACTGTATAAATAAACATTAATAAAAAATAAAATATTTTGTATAACCATACATGTATAAATAAATACTTTAAAAATAAAAAATCAGGAATGATTACTTTTGTTTGAAATTTAACTCTCTTTTGTAACATATAAAATAGCATATATCAACTTTTGAGTATTACAAGCAATATGGAAGTACCAAGGTTTTGGGACATTTGGCTTTACCAGAGAAACCATCTTTGGAATCAAGATCTCTAATAAAAAATGGTAAATACTGTTTTGCTTAAGAATACTATGTAATAAAAATATATATTCTAGTTTCAATGTTTGGCCTTCTTTTATGTCTTCCTAGAGGTAATTATGGAAGTTTTCAGAAGAAAAAAAGAAACATTATATCCTATGTTTCTTCTGTTGTACTTAAATGATCAATCTACTTTTTTAAATCTCACGCAATGTGCACCACATGTTACAATATTGGCTCAATTACTAATTAAGATATTGTAAAGTACAGAAATGAAAGTTTTGTCTCTCATTTTAAAAGGATTCAAAGTCAAAGGTCTCATCCTGCACATTTGGAAATCCTCGAAGTCAATTTGTTTTGAAATCTGTCAAAAATATGACGCCATCGACATTTTACCAGTATGCACTAGTATGATGCCAGTATGTACTAGTATGTTCCTAGTGAAGGCAGAGACATCTAGGCTGTAACACCATGGATGATGATCATACGGTGTAGTCCAGGATATTTATCTTCCACTGTATTTCCATGTTTCCTCCAATGCATGATGATTTATGCTCCTATTTGGACCAATTTATTGGAGTTTCGTCGATGTTGGAGCAACACTGGGTTAAATTGTAGACTTCTGCCCAGAAAAACCTTTTCCACCCCAAAGAAACATCTTCTACAGGATTTAAAGTCAGCAAAGAGATGATAACAGTCGCCTCGGGGACCCATAAGATACCCCTATTTGTCATTGGTACAGCAGCAAAACCTAGAGAGTTTAAGGATATAAAACATGGAAACTCTATCAGTGTATTACCGGTTGCACCAATCAGCATGAATGGACACATATTTGTTCAGGGAATGGTTTGTGTGCGAATTTATTCCGAAAGTGAAAAACCATTTGACAAAATTAAATCTGTACATCAAAGCACTTCTACTACTTGATAACGCGCCTACTCACCAGGAAGGTCTTCAGTGTGACGATAAAAAAGAAATTAAACTGCTGATCCCGCCACCCAATGTAACTAGTCTTCAACAGCCCATGAACCAAGAGGTCATTGAGTGCTTCAAGAGAAAGTATTGCCGAAAACTGCTTTCTTAAGTTCTTTCCAAACTTAGACCTCTTAAAAGTGCTGAAGTCAGTTAATATGAAGGATATTGTGTACATGTCGGCCAAGGAATACGACGAAATACCGGGTGGTAAAGACTATCAGAATTTCGCTCGAACAAAAAAATTACTGTACTGCTGCATTTCTAGATATTTATCAAGCATTCGACAAAGTTGGGCATGTAGGTATTATCTTTAAAATTAAATCCATATTTCCTCATCCCATAAGCTCACTTTTAAGATCCTACCTGACAGATCGATTATTTCAAGTCAAAAGAAATGGGGAAATCACTAACCTGTTTCCAATTTGTTCCGGAGCTCCACAAGGAAGCATACTAGGACTCACCCTCTACTTAATATAAACATCAGATCTCCCAACGACGACCAATACAACAATCGCTACATATGCCGATGGCACAGTTATCATGGCTTCAAATTCTACAGCAACTGAAGCATCCCAGGTATTACAAAATTTAGAGAGTTGGCTTAAACTATAGTGAGTCCAAGTTAACAGTTTAAAACCAACATAACGTTTACTTTAAAAAAAGGTGTCGCGCCACCAGTTTCTATAAACAATACCAGTTAATACCGTCGTTAAATACTTAGGAATTCATTTGGATAGCAAACTTAATTAGGGTATCCACATCTGGAAGAAACGCCTTGAACTCGGCTTAATCTACAGGAAAATGTATTGGTACATGAGTCGAAAATCAAATCTTAGCCTGGAGAATAGCAAGTAATACCAATATACAAAACGATTTCAATCGAAAGTGCTGCGCCAGATCTGCATTACCCCTTAGTACATTACGAACCACAGATTATACCACGATTTACAGTTACCAACAGTTAGCGAAGCAATATCTGCTGTAAACTCGGTATCCAAGACTAGACTATCCAAATCCGCTGGCTACGGATCTGCTCAACATTTCACACGAAAGAAGATTAAAACGACCAGACCTTTTGGACCTCTAGTAAATATGGAGAAACAGATCATAGTGTAATTTTCTTCTTATGGTGCCCTATCCAATTAGTGGACGTTGGCGACAATTCTGGAATACTTCTCGCGATCTTGTGTGGCTCTAAAAAGTGCATGGGCATCGAGATTTGTCCAATCCCTTATGTTTTTAAGTCATGAGTATTTCTTTCTTCCGATGCCTCGTTTTCCTTCTATCTTCCCTTCCATAATAAGCTTTAAGAACTGGTACTTGGAATTTCGAAATATATGACCCAGATAAGCAGTTTTTCTTCTTTTTATAATTGACAGCAATTCTCGTTCTCTGCCCATTCGATTTAATACTTCGACATTTGTTGTGTGATCTGTCCAGGGAATTTTAAGTAGTCTTCTAAATACCACATTAAGGCACTTAGGCTCTATCGAAAATCGTTTCAGAGTAAAGATTTAAAAGGAGGGGTGACAGAACACAACCCTATCGTACACCTTTTCGATTGAGAAATATGATGTAGATTCGAGTCCTACTCTCACAGATGCCCCTTGATTCATATAATATGTGTGATATGATTCATAGTGTCATAGTGCGGTGAAATAACAAGTTTTTATTCTGGTGTTTTCTAAATCTTTCATTGACTTTTTTTTAGTCTTGTAATACTTATATGTGTGTCAGTGTCAGTTATTGTACATAAATTATACATATTTCTTATTGTTTGTAATGAGACAGATTGCAATAAACATTGGATGTTAAATAAAAAATATTAGGCCTAGAATTCTGTAAGTATTGTTTTATAGTATTTTTGTACAGTTTATCTTTTCAAATGTGTTAAATATATGTCAGAGTATTCCTCTGTGTTGTCTTCTACTTAATGTACAAGTGTTTTGTTCTTGCTAGATCCATACAAACAATAAATGGACATTTTTTAGATAAGCATCGGTTAGTTCGGCCTAGGGTCCGGTCCAGAGGTGACCGAACTTACGGGAATCTACTGTAACGATGAATGGTGACAGCTTGTCAGACAATGTTAACGAAGAAATGTTCGTTGAAGAGTTTAGTTATTTAAGAGTTAAGTTTTCCCATTATGCTCGAGACAAAGCTTGTATAAAGTAAAATATGAATAATCAATGTGAAATATTAGATACTCTCCTAATTTTTTCAATAAACATAGCAGTCACTTCAACTACCAATATTAGATTTCATCTTCCTATAAAATGAAAAATGTAAATTATCTATAAAAATATTATCAACAGGTATTAAAACTTTTTTAAATGGAAGTAATTCTGAAACTGTGTTTAAGGTACTAGTTTTGTTACTATTGGCACAATTGTTTTAAAAATGGTTTTCCTCTAGCATAACCAAAATCCAATGTAAATACACTGACGAGTAAAACATTTATTTCTATCTGAAATTGTGATGGTCTAAATGTTTACATCTGCTAATTGGAAATCACTGTATAACCAGGAGCAATTACAGACAGTTATGACCGTTGTCATATCAGAAAATTGTCTGTTACCTTTATGGATGCGACAAAAGTTGTAATGATGTTACCAGATGGTTGAGGACAACATGAAATTAAGAATTGTTGATAAAAGCTGGTGAATACATAAAATGCGTATCGAGGTTTTGAGAAAACAAGACATAATCAGTCCAAAAAAGATTTGTCAGTCCGAGAAATAAGCGTTTGTTAGGGCCTGCAAATTAGAACAACGTAATTAACTCCAATAAATGTGAATATTAGTTAATGAACAGTTAGAAGAACGTTCTGCATTATTAGATTGTCTTGTGGAACAGAATTCAATAGGTCCATCATTGTAACGCTGGCATCGAAATATAAATCGCTTCAATAGATCTGGTGGAAATCTAAGAATCTGAAGAAGACTAGCAGAAAGGTATATTCTAGTTTGTGGTGACAAGCGACTTCTATTTGGGCAGTAAGTCGGCTTAGTTTGACACAAGTCTTTTCAGAACCAGACACAGTTCACACGTACACTATGGAAGTTATAAGAATATAATTTATGATGCTTTTTGTGCCTTTGATTATTTTTGTGTCTCTGAAAGTTGTCAAAGAATATCGAAATGGACCACCGGTCTTTGTTGAGTTATGAAGAAATTTCCAAAGACATATATAAGCTCTCAGAATTGTTCAAGAATGTGTAGGGGTGAAAATAGTATCAAGCAAAACGTAAACTTCAAATCGTTTCCATGCTGACTTTGTTTTTTCTCGCCAATGTAGTTTAACAATTAATTAGACAATTTGAAAAATCGTAAACGAAGAAATCACCGATATTCTTCTTGTTAGAGGTTTTTGTTGTGTGTTTAAGTGCGCATACTCCGAAGGCACTTTTTAAAGCTATGTAACCATCCTTTTTCGGGTCATACTTCGGCCCTGTACTGCTCCCACCTTTGATCATCGGACTCGTGAGTTAAATATCTCCCTCCTACTTGGTTTTCTAGCGTTCGAAGATCACACCAAGTCTGGTAGTCCTAAAAATAATAAAAATAAGGAATACATAAAACTGTAAATTTTTTAAGAATCTAAGTTGAGAGTTAGAATGGACTGTACTACCAAGGATGCGGTTTTAATTTTAAAAAATGTTTTAAAATGTCGGACCAATCAGTCCCAAGCGCAACCACGAAATAGGAAAACGAAAAGGATGAAAAAATAAAATAAATTTTAGATATTTTTATAAATATATTGGTATTATCTAAACGGTATGGCTCGTGCATGCGCAAAGTACAAATTTAAGCTTTGACCGTGTTATACTAACCGTTTTAAAAATGTCGCCATTTGATTTAAGGAGACTACAGTAATCGACTCTTATAAGTACATGTAGAAATGGTATAGAATACAGTCAAATTGTATTTTCGTTTCATCATCATCATTCTGGCTTTATAACCCTCTTTCATTGCTTTGAACATTTCTCTTCTATTCACATAGTCATAGACTGCTTTGCAGTCTATAAATATGTGATGAGTATCAATGCCATATTCCAGTGTTTTTTTCCACCTCTGAAACCAGCCTGGTATTCTCCTAATATCCGTTCTGCATATAGTGCCATACGGTGACATAGTACTGTGGAAAATATTTTATACGCTGTATTTAGAAGCGTAATTCCTCTGTGGTATATAATTTTTTTAAATGGTGCAAAGTATTCCAACAGTTAGGGACGGATTTCTGTGTCCATATTTCTTTTAAAAGCTGCTGTAATGACATTATGGTATCATGGCCACCTTCTTTATATAGTTCAGCTGGGAGATTATCTATTCCGGGTGATTTGTTTCTGGCTAGTTTTTTTAACTGCATCTTTAACTTCGAGAATCCTGGGTGGTTTCTCTTTCCTCTCGTCTGTTCTCCTTACCACATCTCTTTCGTCTTCCATGTTTTCTCCTTCTTCATCTATATTAAGTGCCTGGATTAAAGTATTCCACCCATGTATTCATTACATCTTTCCTTGGTGTTAATAGGTCGCCATTCTGACTTCTTACATTGTCTTGTGGTTGCATTGAATTCTTTTCTGATGGTGTTAACTTTCTTATAGAATGCTCTGAATTCTTTCTCTCTGTTGAAGTTTCTTTCGTTTCAAGTTAGCTTATTTTATTGGCAAACAACTGTATTCTAGATTTAAGTTAGTTAATTTTATTTCAAAATTTTTACTTTCAGTGAAGTAGTCAGTTGGGTTTTTTATCTACGATAAGTAATAATACTCTGTTTGGAGTACCAGAAACTCAATTCACTACGAATTTTGACCATGATGAACGGCATGTGGAATGGAATTTTAGATTCCCTTGCCGAGTAATTTATCAAACTGTTTGCTTTGCAAGTTGTAGAAGGCACAGTGGAAAAATTTGGATTCAGTTTCGCCAAGTAGGAAATCGTATAATTTCTCTTGTTATTATTAGATGGCGTTGTTACGTCTGTAAATAGTTATTTCGATAATTATTGGCCTATGACGGGATAGATTTTGTTTCGATTCAGGGCAGTGGCATATACCGCTTTGATGAAACCTAAAGAGGTCGAAATACGCATAAGCAGCTTGCCGCTGCCCTGTATCGAAACAAAAATCTAATACCGTCATTATATTTTAATATTTATGAATTAAACATAATTGTAAACAATCTTATTATGTGAGAATGAGATAAAAATATTTCGAAATATTCCTGGTTTAATACCTATTTAGTCAGCGAATAGTATAATTTTATTTATGTATATGTACAGTTGCGGTCACGGAATAGTTTACAGGTTCACGTATCTAGGAGCCCATTTTTTAAATTTTTACTTCGTTTAAACGCACCTTTTACGTCAAAGTGACGTTGCCAGTGGTGTACTAGCTAGAATAGGTAGATTAAAATTAAAATATCAAAATATTTTACAAAATGAAAAATATAGAAAACAGTTTTTTGAATAAAATGGATTATGATCTTAATAACGAAAATAAAGAAGTCTTTTTTTTTAATATGCATTTTATTTTAAATCTATTTTATATTAAATAACGATAAACAATGATAAATATTAATTAATATTTGGTGGAAGCCCCATTCTTGTCAATACAATTTTGCAGTCTTCTGTTCATAGATAGCACCAATCCCCTCATGTTATAGTTAACAAGCTCTTCCCATGCCTGCTCAATTGCTTCCCATAATTCAATTCTATTCCGTGGTCTAAGGTTTCTTTTATTTAGTTTCTTTGTTAACTCTGCCCACACATTTTCGACGGGGTTAAAGTCTGCACTACGGGAAGGCCACGGAAGAACATTAACATCAGTTTCTTCTAGCCATTCTCGAACAATTCTACTCGTATGCACCGGGCAATTGTCATGTTGGAAGATAAAGTCGTTGTTGGGGAATCTCTGGATCACCGATGGCAACATTGTGTGCTCAATAATATGTTTGTAATATAATCCTGTTAACTTCTCCTCTACATGATAACAAACGCCCGGCCTTCGGCACTTATCCATCCCCATACGTTGACAGAGAATCCTCCACTATTTCTTAAATGATGCGTATACTGTTCATCATACCTATGATTTCTCGGCCTATAAACTCTTATTCGACCATTATTATACGACTGAAATAATTTTTCATCGGAAAATACAACCCTAGACCAAAAATTCTCATCGCGGTTTATAAATTCATTACAAAATTCAACTCGTCTCCTCTTGTGATCCTCAGTCAAAAAAGGTTTCCGTGCAGCTACACAATTTAGCAGTCCACTTGCTTTAATTCTTCGACGTGCAGTGCGAATACTGCCTGGAAACTCTGCCTCTTCTCTTGCCTTTTGAGCTGTGGCAAAAGGAGATTCTCTCAAATAATCTACTAACATCTCATCCTGTTGATCTGTGGAAATCTTCTGCCCTCCTGAACCGCCCAACCGTGCTATAGAGTGAAAATTATCCCATCTTTGTTTAATCTTCCATATGCACATATGACTCACGTTCAAATCAGCAGCAACTTGCCTTAGTGACCAACCTTCTTCGAGTTTGGCAATTGATATTGCTTTTTGCGCATAATTCAAATGTATTCTAACCATTTTGGAAGAGTTTAATATACTTTTATTTTATTGTTGAACACTCGCGAAAGCATTGACGTTTTGAAATTTTTTGACTTTGACATTTATCAAATCCGTACGACACTGCAATTTTACAGTATTACAATATAAAAAGTAAGGTGTAAACTATTCCGTGACCGCAACTGTACATATATATGCTTATTTAGCAGTTTATGCTAGAACAATATTCAACTCGACCAGTGTGAAATTTGACTAGACTATTGCCGTTCTATTAATAGAATAAGTTGAGGTAATGTTTTCATTTTAATAATTTTGGACGAGCTGACGCGCATATATTTTCATATCCGTGTAGATAATCTACAAGCTCTAGCTCATAACATATTACAGCAGGAAAAGGAAAAGTACATATTACAGGAGGAAAAAAAAATTAAAAAAAGTCGCAAACACTTACCTGCAGCCAGATGTGGCTTAAAGATTTATCCACTGTGTATCTTTTTCTCTGTTTAACTTGCAGGAGGTTGTTGATTAAATTAATAGCTAAAAATTATTTACGAGAATTAAAAACTAACAATAGATTTATATTTTGTAGTATTATCGATTTCTTACCATCAGAAGAAATTTCCTTCCAAGGATTCGGTGGGTACATGAACGCGGCATTCTGAATTTGTTCGTTTATGTCTTCGTCTTCATTAAATGGAAATGTGCCGCTTAAACTGACGTAGACTATAACGCCTACACTCCACATGTCTAAAGACCTATTGTAGCCTTTGTTGCGAAGAACTTCAGGAGCTAAAGATAAAAAACAAATATTAATAATCTATGCTTTTATTACAAAGCATAGGTTATGCATAGGTAGAACAAATACAGACACAATTTCAAAATCATTAACAATGAAATCAGAAAAATGATAAGAGAGGCAAAACAAACTTATTATGAGGAAAAATGTAGAGATATTCGAACTATTCAACCTACATAAAAACGTTAAAAAAATGATAGGGCTGTACTGGCCGTTAAAAAACCAATAAAACATAAGTCATCCGCTAAAATTGGGATACTTTACTGTAGAATGGAAATATCAAATAATAGATGTCATTTAAAAGCCTACAAAAATGAGGACTTTGTTCGATGACTCATTAGAACTTAAAGCTACAAATATAAATACATTATATACATATAAACATTGTGATTATTTACCTAAGTAAGCAGGTGTACCAACTACAGATCTACGGAACGATTTCTCTCCAATGATCCTAGCGAAACCGAAATCGCACAGTTTCACTTGGGGAAATTCGGCATCGGAACTTAGCAGTACGTTTTCGGGTTTTAAATCACAGTGCACAATATTCTTACTATGTAAGTGCTTCAAAGCTATAAGTATCTACAAATCAATATGCAATTAGCGCTATAAACATTTATATTAAAAATATAACACTCCCACCATACAGAAATAAGATTCAGATTTCGTTTTTTTCCTGTCCGTGAAACCCAGCTTTTAATGTCTATTAAAAAATTTACAGACTAAAAGTATTTTTAAAATGACAGTTAACTTATTCAAAAAGAAGGCTACCTTTACTAATTTTTGAAAAAGAAAACTCGAAATCTGACACCACTGTCAACTTCAATCGACCACAACTATTGCCGTAACATACGAAAATTAAAAAGAAAGAAATAAAAATTATTAATAAATTAAACTACAACAGTGGTCCGAAAAGTGGTTTGCTTTACCGCTCGATGGCGCCACTATCGCAAGAGAAATTTACTATCGTCTAGTATATTCTTGTATACGACTTCTGTCAAAATTTCAGGTAAATCGAACACGTAGTTTTGTTTTGACAGCATGTAGAAGCGGGCGTGTCCACAGATTTTACAAAAATGTTTTTGGAATAAAATCGCGCAGAGAAATCAAAGAGTGCCTTGATGCTGTATATGGTGACTCTTCCCCTTCGCAGGTACTCCGAAAACGGCTGCCATGGAGGATAACGTGACAAAAATACACGATTCACGATATTGGCAGACCGAGGATTGTAGGTATGGGAGAAAAGTAACTCAAAAGATCGCGTGGGTCATATATTGCATGAAATTTTGGGCTTGAGAAAGTTGTCAGCGCGGCAGGTACGCAGGCATTATTCCGGACAAGCACAACCGTAACATCACTTCAGAGCAGTGTTAAACGCTATTTAAGCGCAATTTGAAGTAGTTTCTGCGACGTCTCATGTCCCTCGACGAAACATGGATCCACTGGTACACACCAGAGACCAAGGAACAATTGAAAAAATAGACTTTGCCCAGCCAACGTGATCCGACGAAGGCGAAGACTGTCTTACCGGCTAGAAAGGTGATAGCAACAGTTTTCTGGGATTTACAAGGTGTGATATACATCAACTACCTGGGGAAGAACAAAACTGATGAAGGGCTCTAGTATGCCGAATTATTTGGTCGATTCGAGGTCAATGGCCAAAAAAAGGTCTTTAACTAGGCGAAAAAAGTCCTCTTTCACCATGAAAACTCAAAGATCCACATCTTCACCGCAGCCATGGCCAAATTGAGCTACCAACTGCTGCTATATCCACCCTATATTCCAGATTTGGTCCCGTGCGACTTTTTTTATTTTTAAACTTGAAAAGGTCATTCGTCGGCCAGAAATTTGAGTCGAATGAGGAGATGATCCTCATTTAACGGACAGACGGACGCCTACTTTGCAGACCTCTAGAAAACGTATTTGTCACACGAGTTAAAAAAGTTGGAGCATCGCTGGGTCAAGGGTATCGAGGTAAAAGGAGACTATATTGAGAAATAAATCTCCACTTCTTTCAAAATTTGTGTTTTTCTTTTGTAGGATTCTTTTTTTTTTTGGCACTTATGGGACCACCCTCCAAACTTGAAAAAGTCATTCGCTGGGCAAAAATTTGAATCGAATGAGGTCATCCTCATTCGACTTACGGACGCCAGGAAACCTACTTTGCAGAATTCGAGAAAACATTCGCAGTGTGACTTATTGTTCAGAGGGGTTAAGAAGTTAGGTTAAGTGTATCGAGCTCAATAGGACTTTTCATCATCCGCCATGTTTTTCGTACAGACCTATTTGACAATGACGTATAATATATACACTGCACGTCACGAAAAGGAGGTCACCTAAAATTTTTGCCATTTTTTTATTTTTAAGAATCATACCACAAAGTATGATTCTTTATTTGACACTTTATTTTTTTCAATAACTAGACTTTCTTTGGTATTTTTTGTATTAATTCTCTATAATATTTATATTACTAACCTAACCCGTTCGTTTACAAAATGTCTGTTCGAAAAAAATGGCTGACACTATTTTTTGATGGAAGTCCTATTTTTAAAGTTTTCCTTTTTCTTTTGCAGGAGGCTTCTTTTTTTTTGTACTTATCGGAACACCCTTGTATATAGTTTTGGAAATATAATCAAGGAAGCCAATTAATACCAGCAAAAATTGCTCAGTAGTGTACTTTGTACAATTTCTTTTATGTAAAAAACTTAAAAACACAAACTAGCATGTCTGAGTGTTTTGTTTTTCAAATAAGCAATAGATCACATACATTTCTTACTTATATTTCTTTTAAAAAAATCTTAAGCCTACTTACTTGTGTTATAATAAATTTAGTGACCCTCTCAGTCAGTCTACCTTTGTCATGGGATAAAATCATCTCTAACATATCACCTTTGAGTTTTTCCATCACCACGAAAATTCTCTCTGGGGTTTCGAACATTCGCTCCAAATTAACAACGCCGGGATGGGACAAATTCTGTAAAATTGCAACTTCGTTTTTTAATTGGGCTTCCTGTTTGGTCGGGAACCTTAATTTGTCGATAACCTGTAAGTAAATTATAACAGGTACATGAAAGAATACTAACATACAAGAATAAAATATATAAAAATAGACATTTTTTCACAAAAAAGAATAAAGAAATATTATTTTATTGAATTTTAATTTGAAAAATCAGTAAACGTTTGAAATTAATTAAAAATGCGTATAGCAGGATAAATATACTTTTTAGTGTTTACATCTCTATTTTCAATACTGGTTTATAAAACTAAAAAAAAAACAACACTTAAAATCAAAACAGCAACTTAATCTCAAAGATAAATAAACAACAACATGATACAAAAATTATATCGAATGATCCAATACAAAAATTAGAATTTGTCAAACTTCAACTAATAACTAATATTAACTTACATTGAAGAATACTGCCGATTGAGAGCGAACTGTACCGATCACAAGTTGCAGTACTGAGAATCGCTAGCAACAATGTCGCTGTTCAGAGAATTAAATTTCGGGAAAATTAAACTATTAGAATATGATGTATGTGCTGCCATCTTCTCAAACAATTGTTAAACGTTAGTTTATTTGAATGCCACTCATTTTAACTGCGGCGTGAACATACCCTCTTAAACTAAAAATTAAATTAAACTGTACTTACTTTAATGGCCACTGCTCTAGCTGTTCTTCGATGAGCTCCTCCATAGACTATTCCAAATTGACCCGAACCAAGAACCTCATCTGGATAGATTTGATAAAGCTGACTCATATCAGTGATTTGTTCTTCACTGGCAGTAGTCTCTTCATGTTCTAGAAACGTTTTAAAAAGTCAATATTGGTCCATTTACCAGAGACTCTGTCACTGGTAGGCTAAGGTAACAAAAATGTGTAAAAGGGATCCGACATTTAAGTTAAAATTTCTAACAGTATGAGTTATTTTTTCCAAAAAGTGCGTTTTAGCGGATTGTTGAGTGTGTGAATTCATAATGTATATTAAAATTGTGAATATAATCGAAAATTTTTCAAAATGATATAAGGTTAGCAGTGCTAGAGCATTAAGGCAGGAAAGAAAGAGCAACGAATCTATAAGAAACACGAATGATACAGAAACGGTCATTGACAAAATAGAATGAAGAGGTTTAAAATGGTTTGGACACCTATTGAGAATGCCTGCATCTCCCATGAAAACCCATCTGCAATAAACAAAAGAACCGACATCGACAATTTGAGCCAGGTTTGCCACTCTCTCATCTTACGAAATAAATAATACCAATATTCATCATTTAAAATAGCCTTATTTCCATTCAAAACAATAACATAATCATCCCAGATCTCTAGTTTCATTAAAACATAAAAAAAAAAAAAAATTCGTCATACAAATCCACCTGTCCAACTAATCTTTCAATGACCCCCGTAGAAGTTCATAATTGTCTCAAACCTTGGAAAAATTTCGGTATCGCGTCACGTCGTTTAGTTTGTTTGTCTTCATTGGAGAACCATCTCTAAATGAAGCCAAATGTACGTTTAAAGTTTTTGTAAATCTTCGTTTCTGCGAATACTATTTTTTGCATGTTCCTGTTAAATTTTTTTAAGTTAGTTCTAAATTTATGAGTAAACTTAAGTACATATATAATAACACCTTTAATACTACATATTGAGTTGTAAGTAATAAATTATTAGATCTGTATTTCTTATAAACTCTATGTCATCTTTGTATTTTAGAGAACTGATGAAGCTTTAGAAGTATAAAGCGAAACGTCTTCTATAAACTTATGTTGAAGTTGTTGACTTCTGTTTTTTATTTTGCCAACCTGACTGAGCGAACAAACCTCTGGATTTCACTAGTTGAATACTTTATTAATATAAATTGACGGTCGTAGTTATATATATATATATATATATATATATATATATATATATATATATAATATATATATATATATATATATATATATATATATATATATATATATATATATATATATATATATATATTTGTGTCCTTGTCAACTAGCACTTTGAATATTGTAGATCTATTGCTAGCCTGTGCTACGTTGTAATTTTTACTTTGAGGTTTTAGAACCTGTAAAATAGAGAGTATACTTACTTTGATTAGCTTGCACAGGCACAATGGCTTGCCGGATCGAAGTTTCCCAACTTTTGGCAAGATAAGCACCAACACCACTATCCGGAGGGGGTAAATTGACCAGGTTTCCATCTTGGAGATTAAACAATGGGTCTTGCCCGACAAAATAGTCTATATTGGCCGTTCTGATCTCGAAACAATGCATATACTCTACAATAGAAAAAATTTTATAAGTATAACTCTTATTTTGTATGGATTTGTGATTGTGTACCTCCTTGTTTGATGCGGGCTGTGTCGATGGTTAAAATTTCTGATAGGGGAATCTCTTTATAATACTTGGAACTTTGTTCGCTTTGAAAAAGAACTATGGACTTTGTGTCTAGCCTCCAGAAATGACGTCGCACCTAAAATGTAGACGTTATATAATAAAATGTATCAAATAATAAATTAATAATGCTACAACAACCGTATTTCAAAATCGTTGATTAGCAATAGATATCTTAAGGGCGGTTTCCACGCTACGATTTATTGTACGTTTTGTCGGGTACTCAAAACGTACGACAAAATGTACGTCCAGGGTATATACACTACGTTTTTCTTTTCGGCTTTATACCTCCGTTCCAATCAAGAGTCATGAGATGTGTGAATTTTGTTTAGTAAATCTTTTTGATCTGAAACATTTTTTGATCATGGAGGAAACACGGCAGATATCTTTAATTTTTTCAACTACAACGAATAGGAATCGAGGGGGAAAGGAATGAAGAAGGAAAAGATAAGATGGTCAAGAGAGTGGCTTCTGAAAAGAAGCCAGTATTCCCACGTCTCGTTACTGAACAACTGAGAGGCAAACCTGACGATTGGCGCAATTATTTTCGAATAGACACCTCAGCCTGTTAACTAATACCATATATACTGAAACAAGAAACCTGCATGAGAAAAGCCATTACACCCAATGGAAACTCACAGCAACTCTCAGATATCTTCTGAGACTCGTCTTTTTTGTTTGTAGTTTCTCGTGGCATCCTTGGTATATCTTGATCACTGAAAAATAGATCGAAGATAGAAAAAGCTATTATTAATAGAAGCGCGAAAAAGAGAGTTTAAAATCAGCGAAACAAAAATCAAGTACATGAGCGTTAAAAGAACACCTGGCAATGAAAATAATATCGCAATAGACAATTATACGATCGAACGCGTGTATGCCTTCACATATCTGGGCACAGAAATCAATCAAAAAATCAATCGCACATACTATGCTAATAAAAAATTGATAACATCAAAATTCTTATACAAAAGAACGAGAGTGACTATCTTCAGAACATTAATTAGATCCGTAGGTTGGGGTAGACCCAAACTACGGATCCTGGAGACCTGGGTAACAAAAAAAGATGAAGAGCACCTTAAGACATTCGAGAGAAATGTCTTAAGTTGCTCTTGTCTCGACGAGTTTACGGCCCTGTGCAAGAGGACGTCAATAACACATGGAGAACGTCGACATCAATGAATTAAATGAAGGGCACGACATAGTAAGATTTGTTACAAGACGGAGACTGTCATAGCTGGGACATGTCCAGGGACAAAGAGATTCAAAGTCAACAAAAAAAGAATGAGTGGGACAGTGGAGGAGAAAGGCACAAGAGGGGTCTGAACAAGGACATAGCCAGACAGTCAAAGACTCATCCAGGGTTATGATGCCAAATGAAGAAGAATATGTCAAAGTACCACAAAGATGGTTTGTATATTTCTTCTTCTCCAGTTCAAGAGATAACTCAGGCCCTCACTTTTTCAATGGTTTTTTATAAACCGATCTCAACGAGTTTTGTTGTAACTATCATTTCGATTTAACACGACGTACGTTTTGCTGTTTACACGCCACGTTTAATTCGATAGGATTAGGATTAGGGGGATAGAACTCATAGGATAGGACATAATATACAATCAAGTCAACTCTCAGATAATTTATGAGTATGCGAAGGTGGCTTGAGTAGACTTTTGCCGCAGAATACAAGTCATCTAAAAAATCGTCATTACAGGAAGCCTTGGAATAACTCTTGGTTTTAACATTAACATTCTATGATTATTATTTTTTAACGATATTCTGTTTAATTTTGTTTAACACATGTAATTGTGACTAAACATAAATACCCAATCCTGAAAAATAATCTCACGATAATAAATATTGTATTTATTAAATATTGTCACAAATCATGGTATTTTACATGGTACTTAGTGTGATTGGCCATTGAGTTGTAAATTTGACATTGAATATACAAAATTCACAGAAAACTTTGTACTGGTTCATCATCTCAACATTTCTTCTCAAATTTATAATTATTGGGTCCATTTTATCAAATATTTTCCACCGATATTGTCAAATATAACTAATTTATTTGATACTTCATATATTTAATACAACATTCTTACCGTTTTGTCTTTATTCGTAAAGTGCACTAACCATCCTTCTTTGATCACTTTGGAACCTCTTCGTTTGGTGTGTTTTACTGATTGAACTATTCGTTGTAAAGGAATGTTGGCACTTGGAGAAGAAGAAGAACTACAACAAAAATAAATAAAAATAGTACACAGACTTAATTTTTTTTTATAAATCATTATAATTACAAGACACTAACAGTTGTTTTTTACGTGTAAATTATTCATAGGAAAGTAGAATTCAGTCAGTGAATTCTAACTTTTATCTCTATATATTTATTTATTTATTCATTCCAACGGTAGAACCATTTACAATAAAATACAAAACATAGTAAAAAGTAAAGATCATGTACAATAAACATCAAAACAATAACAAAGAAACAAGTAAACAGTTAAAATTTGTACATTAAAACAATATATCATATCACAAAAATTTTAAAAAAGTATCAGTATCACATAGTATCACATATCTAGATTAATAGTCAGATTCCTTAGTTGCCTTTTAAAAGCATTAATGTTTATGCAGAAAGGATCCAATTGGAGGTCATTGCAAGATCTGAGCATTCTTTACAGGGGAAAATGACGAGCATAATCAGTCCTATGAAAAGGAATATGAAAGAGTGCAGTGTGTCGAGTTCTATGCATTGTGTTTAAGTGTACATTGGCCAATAACGAGGGACAATTAATAACATTGTTCAGAATTTTAAACAAAAATAACATATCAGCTCTCAACCTGCAGTTCTTCAATGTATCAATGTTAAAATGAGACATTATTATAGAATAATCTATGAAATAATTTTCAGTATTTTTTATATTAATATGGGCTTTAAAAGCTAAAGATCTTAGAAACTTCCTCTGAACGCTCTCCAATCCATCAATGTATACTTAATGAAACGGGGACCAGACAAAGAGCAGTATTCAAGACCTGAGCGTACCAGAGAGCAATACAATAATTTAAATACAATAGGTGAGAGATCATGACTGTTGCGATAAATAAAAGCAAGATTACGAAATCCTGTTTCCTTAATTTTAAGAAAATGGCTTCTAAATGTCAATGCACAATCCAATAATACACCCAAATCTCTAATCTCAGTAACTGAATCCAAGAGTACATTATTAAGATTTGACACTCTATTAGCCATTAGATTATTTATACGACCAAATGAAATACAAGAACATTTAGTTGGATTTAAGCTTAAACCATTTTGTTTTGACCATAAACATATGTTGTTTACATCATCTTGCAGGAGATCTCTATCCGATTTATTATGTATACAACGAAATATCTTAAGATCATCAGCAAATAGCAGGAAGTGTGAGTTTTTGATAGCCTTACCAATATCGTTAATGAACAAGTTAAAAAACAAGGGACCACAATGAGACCCTTGTGGTACACCAGAATAACAATGAAATTCTTTTGAAATATAATTGTTAATACGAACTTGCTGTGTACGTCCCATCAGAAAACTTTTAATCCAATTAACAATGGGGTCACCAAAGCCAGATGCATGAAGTTTGTGGACCAAAAGATTATGATTAACCTGGTCAAAGGCTTTTGAGAAATCAGTGTAAACGCTGTCAACCTGAATTTTATTCTCAAATGCACCCAACAAGTATTGTTGGTAATTGAGAAGGTTTGTTACAGTTGATTCCCATTAGAAAAACTATGTTGTTCTTCAATAATTATGTTTCTGCAAGCCCAGGTGAGATTTATCGATACCAATTTATCAAGAAGTTTCGGGATTGCTGATTGAATAGTTATACCTCTATAATTGTTAACACACTCGCGATTGCCAGATTTATAGATAGGTGTAAGAAAACTATTTTTCCAATATTGTGGAAATACAGATGACAACGATAAATTGAAAATTTGTTGTAAAAGTTTACAAAGGGAAAAATACAGTTCTTAATAAGTGCTACAGGTATACCATCAGGCCCTGAAGAATATGTAGTTTTTAAACTGCTAATCCCCTCGAAAACATCAGTCAGACTAAACTTCAGACTCTGGAAATCCACATTATAGTCCAATTTAAAATTAGGTACATTACACTCACTATCATTATATGTACCTGAAAAATAGCTGGCAAATAAATTGACTATTTCATGGGGACTGTATGATATATGAAGAATTTATAAGAGAAAATAATTTGTTAACGGATTTATTACCTACCTGGATGGCGTTAGATCGTTGTCGTCATCATCGTGTACCGGTATCACTTCAATATATTTGTTGCTATCATTATCGTTATTCAAAGATACAGAAGACTCTTTTGTAGTCTCCGAATCCTCATCTAAGGCAGAATTAAAGTGACTATCGATACTAGCACAACTACTGGCGTGTTCGAAATTGCCTACAATACAGTAAGAACAAAATTAGATAAAATATCATCGAAAACACTGATATTACTGACATAACTGCCAGACAAAATTTTCAATCTACAAACATATATGGTTCTTCTCACATGCTTCTTTCTGAAGCTGCCCACTTGTATATGTGTGTATGTATGTATCGATGTGTGTGCGTGTGTGTGTATGTGAGAGAGAGAGAGAGTTTTTTATTTAACTACTAACAAATACAAATATCGTTTGTAGCAAGTCAAAACCGGTATTTAGGCGCCACGCCCTTCTGGTAGGGATCTATGGGAAATTGAGCCGCAAGCACTTATCTCTTGTCGTACTGCTACACCATAGGTCGATCGACACCAGCGTATTCTAGTCTAAGACGCAGATTAGATTCGTTTTAACCAAACTAAAACAGGAAAAGCAGCAGGCTTCGATGGAATGTATCCAGAGTTTATAGTCCACACTGGTACAAAAACACGACAGTGGCTCAAAAAATTCTTTAGCGACATTGTGAATACAACTGTGCTACCCCCAGAATTCAAAAGAACAAAAATTATCGCAATCCAGAAGCCTGGCAAAGACAACAAGCTGCCTGAAAGTTACCGGCCTATTGCCTTACTCAGTTGCTGTTATAAATTACTAGAACGACTTTTATATAACCGAATATGTAACACCATTGAGGATGCTGTACCAATTGAACAAGCTGGATTTAGAAGAGGACGAAGTTGCTGTGACCAAGTGCTGTCCTTAACTACATTTATTGAAGCTGGCTTTGAAAGACGCGAAAAATCTGCCATAACATTTATAGATCTCACGGCTGCCTATGACACGGTGTGGAGAGAGGGCCTTATTTATAAGCTGATGAAAATCATACCTTGCCTCAAAACTTGTCAGCTGATAAACAATCTACTGACTAACACTCTGTTTCAGGTATATATAAATGATGCACAGAGTAACGTTAGAAAACTCAACAACGGCTTACCTCAAGGCTCAGTGCTAGCTCCTTTATTATTTAACCTTTATACAGCAGATATACCTGAAACAAAATCGAGAAAATTTGCTTATGCTGACGACCTGGCCATTGGCTTCCAAGATAATAGTAAAGAAGCAGGAGAACGAGCTCTAAACGAGGACTTATCTACACTAAGTAACTATTTTAAGAACTGGCGCTTACGTCTTAACACAAGCAAAACTGAAACCTGTTTCTTTCATCTGTCGAATCAACTTGCGGGCGATACTCTCAATGTAACTCTAAATGACACAGCTATCAAACATAACAACAACCCCAAATATCTAGGCGTCACACTTGATAGAACACTCACCTTCAAAAGTCATCTTACAAACGCAGCCGGTAAACTAAAAACACGAAATAACTTAATATCAAAACTTGCTGGAACAACTTGGGGTGCTTCTGCAGATACTCTTCGGACCTCTGCTCTAGCTTTGGTTTTTTCAGTGGCAGAATATTGTGCACCAGTATGGCTAAATAGTGCACATACAAGCAAAATCGATGTCCAACTTAACCAAACCATGAGAATAATCACTGGAACAATAAAATCAACGCCAGTGAGATGGCTGCCTACTCTGAGCAATATTGCTCCACCAGATCTACGCCGTACAGCAGCATTAGTGAGAGAGTACCAGAAAATTGTAGCCAACGTACAATTACCAATACATCAAGATATCCCAGACATCTCAAAAGAGCACCAACGATTGAGATCTAGAAATCCTCCAATACGATCTGCCCGAAAAATTGGTAATTCCTATGATATACATAGGCAATGGACAACAAGATGGATGCCAACAGTAGAATCGGACTATATTAAGATATCCACCCCAACTCAGGGTTTCATCGGATCAAATCTGCCCCGGTCCATTTGGGCAAGGCTTAATCGTATACGTACCGGACATGGTAAATGTGCTGATTCGCTGTTCAGGTGGGGTCGTGCAGAAAGTCCACAGTGCGATTGCGGAGAATCTAGACAGACCATAAGCCATTGTGTTTCAGACTGCTTGAATCGTGCCTACCGTGTAAACCTCCAGGACTTTGCGGAATGTTCCCCAGAAGCAATTGAATGGCTATGTAAATTGGACATTAATATTTAGTGTCATTCATTCTATTCATTCTATTTTTACTATTTTTAGTGTTTGAATAATATATATAATATATATGTGTATATTATTGTAATTGTATTTGTATATTTATCGTACTGTGAAAGTCCATACCCTAAATAAAATAAAAGATTCGTTTTAGCATTTTAAATGCTGCGTTAGCATTTTTTATTTTTCTCTACACAGAACCAGGGCTTGAACCCACATCCACTTAACCATTCGACATTGAAGCGAATGAGAATCGGCCGCCTGGCCCGCTTGGCTATCTGACCGACGCCGACGATATATAGTATATAGTTATAGTAACTTAAATATATCACAAACAAGAACACCGATTAAGCAGAAAATGATTTATGGCAAAGTCACGGTAAGCAGTTTGTGGATACTTTGCAATGAGTCATATATTCTTCAGAGCAGTAAAAGCAATGTTTCAGAAAATATTATTTTTATAACTTTTTCGAAACTATTACAGCTTAGCTGTTTAATACTTTTTGGTAAAATATTGTAATAGTTATAATTAAGGCAATTTTTAGTTGAAAGACGTAATCTACAGCGATTTGATTGTAAGTAGTGATAGTTTCGCGTATTGTGAACGTGAACATCACACTACTTTATTAAATAGGCCCATTTTCTGTGAATTTCAGTCAGAACTTGAAATATTAACAGAGTAAGTAGCGGCATAATTTTGAAATTGATAAAGAAAGGTCGGCAGTGTTCTAGATAACTAACCACTGCTAAAATCCTGATACCTTTCTTTTGCATTTTAAAAATTTGAATAGTGTAGTTGAATATGATTTAATATTGTGTTGAACAAAATATGTGTGGTTGAAAACTGTTCACACTGTTCTCGTATATATTTGTAGGTAGTAGTAAAAAATACGTTTCTTACCTGAAGCATCACGTGGAAGTTCCCCGGTACAATCTTTCGGTACTTTTTGAAGACATTTCTTGTGCGCGTTGTAATTACAATCCTTGCATTGCAAGCCTTGTTTGAACAACCCTTTGAGTAATTTTTTACAATATTGACATACCGTAGGTCTGGTGTAGGAGTGTAGGACGAACGTGTGTGGGATTTTAACTCTCGAAGACATTTCTTTTTCGACCCATACCGGCCGACCTCCCAACGAAGGCGATCGGTTGTTGCTCTGAAACTAAAATGTCGGTAAATAGAAAATTGTCAATAAAACTATGATTGAGTGGATATTTATACAGCCGTAATTTTTAATATTTTAAGCATTAGTCTGAAATTATTTCCAGGACGTTTCGCCTGCAAGTGCAGTTTAGATTACCAACCAAGCGGCAACGGTATTTCTCGTTTTATCTCGATATCATATTTCTGTGTTCTTGTTTCTTCAAATAAAATTTAACGCAGTTGTCTTGTAGGATGAGGACCAAGTTAAGAGTTCCTCTTGTATTCCATTAAACGATGTATTTACACTACAGTTTGTTCCAAAATTACTGGAATTAGTGGTTTTCTTGGATCTTTCGCTGAGCTTAAATTTTCTTGTATCTTCTACGTTGGTTTGAAGATTGGCTGGATGTCATATTTCGTTAAAATTTTGCCAATTCGATCATAAAATGTAATGTATATCCAAAGTCGATTGAAAGTTGAAGGTTTAAGAGGAGGTACAAATATATTTAACACATCTCTTTTACTACACGAAGCGCTGTACGTAACGTAACCAAGCTATACAAGATATCCTCGATATATATATATATATATATATATATATATATATATATATATATATATATATATATAAGAAAAAAGAAGTACTTGTGACTCGTTTGGAAAAAATATAACACTGTTTTTGATGGGTTGGAGTCAATAAATTCATTTGATTTTAGTTCTTTCATTAATAATTTCCAATTACCACAAAATTATGTTTTAGTTAGTTTGATGTAACATCTCTTTTTACTAATTTACCTTTAAATTTAATCATAAGTAGTGTTGAAAAACATTGGAATGAGATTTCGCAACATACTAATATTGACTTATTACATTTTAAAACACTCATCAACTTTGTTTTTGATTCTAATATTTTTATATTTAATGGTGTTTTTTATAAACAAATTTTTGGTAGCCCTATGGGATCTAGTCTTTCACCCATTCTAAGTAGCTATGTCATGGATGATGTTATTAGTGATTGTATCAATAATTGCACTTTTTTCATTCCATTTATCAAAAGATATGTAGATGATCTAGTTTTGGCACTTCCTAAAAACAAAATTCTTGAAACAGTCAACATTTTCAACAATCATAATCAACATATACAATTTACAGTTGAGGAAGAGGTAGATAATTCTCTACCATTTCTTGACATGAAAATTGTAAGAAATACAGACAATATGTTGAAAACTAGATGGTTCAGAAAACCCATATGTAGTAATAGATTTATAAGCTATTACTCTAATCATCCAAATAAGATGAAAATGAACCTTATAACAGGATTAAAGGAACGTGTTTTAAAACTTTCTCATCCAGACTATCTACAAGAAGATCTTCATTTGTTAAAAAATATTTTAATTGAAAACTCTTATCCTCCTGATATGCTACATAGGATGCTTTTTTCTAATTTATTAAATATAAATAACTTAACACCATTTTTTGCTAAATCTCAAAACACTGTGTCCAACAATCAAAACATATATTATCATTCACTACCTTTTATACCATCATTAACTCCTAAATTAATACAAACATTAAAGGTTATTGACAATATAAAAATAGCAACAAAGAACATCAAAACTATTTCATCTTTATATTCCAAAACTAAATATCCTATAGACAAATTAGATCAAACAAATGTAGTATACAGCATTGTTTGTACTCAGTGTGAAGCTGAGTATATTGGCGAGACTGGAAGAAATCTCTCAAATCGCATTATTTCTCACAAGAGTGATTGTAGAATTAAGAAACCATCTTGTGCTTTGGCAGAGCATGTAATAGACAAAGACCATATTATGGATTTTGATAATATTAAAATTTTATGTAATGAAAGTAATAAATGTAAAAGAACTTTTTTGGAAATGGTTTGTATTAGCAAAAGTGATAATAATTTAAACAAAAGGTCAGAAATTCAAAATTTAAGCAAAATTTATAATTATATAATTTCTATTTAATTTATATATGCAGTCAGTAAAATATCACATTTTGAATTTTCCATGTATTTGTCACATTTTTTCGGGCATCTATCAATGGTGAATAAATCTTCTTCTTTTTTGTTACTAAACAAAGAAGAATTTTTTAAACAAAATTTTATTTTTGACAATATGTCAAAAATAAAAATTTTTAAGTTAGTATTTATGACATTTAGGCTGGTTGTAGCTATTCTATTTTTGTTTACAAATTCAATTTTTTTTCTTAAGAAACTTCATCAAAATTTTTCAGAGAAACATTTATTAGAATAAGACATTTTTTTATTAATATTTTTTGTATTTAATATGTAGGCAGTAGTTTTATATAAAAAACTAATTTTATTTGGTGAGTTAACAAAAAATTTTTATTTCTAGTTCAACTTTGTAAGACATTTTGTATTTTTTAGAAGCTCTTGATAAAAATTGTAATTACAATTGAAAGCTCGAGTAAAAAATAGTCAACAAATAGCCCCTTTTATTGACTCCAACCCATCAAAAACAGTGTTATATATATATATATATATATATATATATATATATATATATATATATATATATATATATATATATATATATATATATATATATATATATAATATATATATGAACGGATTGAGATGTTCTGTCCTTCTTGTTCAAGTGAAACCAAAGCACAGTATTGCCAGATGTTATATAAATATTAAATTTCTTCCTTTGTCTCAGATCTCCCTTAGATTCTGTCGCGAACTTTTAGGATAGTTCATTTTTCAATGGCAACAGTATAAAACAAGTATGAACTACTCCTAATTCTTTGGTAATATTCAGCTCTTATGGAACACACATCGAAACATTTGCCATAGATTTATTTGTATTATTATTAATAATAATTGTATCGACAAATAGAAATTTGCGGAGATGTGTCGCGAACGATCCAAGGTCGGTCTGCTTTAACAAGTTTACTGCCATGAGTACCACATGTGGTACTCAGTTAACTTGCCATTTATGCAACAGCTCTTCTAGAGCATGTTGACCCATGAGGCCACGACGATGTTTATTTATTATTTTAATTTAGGCTTTGGTAAGGATCTTTTGGGGGTTAATTAATATCTTTTTAAGTATTTCACACCATTTTGAACCTGAGTACCTATGTTGGTGCTCATGGCCCAACGAGTGATGTTTTAATCAGGGGTCATGAGCGCCACCTCTGGTACTCACAATAAAATACTATATTCTAATATTTGTCGACCTGCAGATTTCTGTAAATTAAATTGAGAATATTAGGGGTTGTTAATGATAGATGTCTATCCTATTAGTAGTGGCAAATATAGAAAAATCTTTTTGCAAGCTCTAACAGGTAGTTTAATTGTCTATTGTTGCTTTCCAATACAGTCGCGATTGTAAATTGTAATAATGGATTCCAAAGAAGAGAAGAGATTACTGCATTTATTTGAGACTGTAGAAATACGAAGCGGATCATCGTCCACTTCGGAGTTTCATGACAGTGACCCAGCGGATCCAGAGTATTCACTAGACAGTGAAGATTCGGACAGTGATGAAATTAGTGAAAATGAAGTTTTGAGAAATGAAGAGTTAAATAATGAGTAAGAACCAGCACCTGCGAATGTTTCCCAGTCTGAAGATTGGCACATATCTGATCAGCAGAGGATTAAAAATATAAATTATAATAGAATTCCGAAGAAGTAGGCGTAAACTCCGACCTAATAGATACAATGCAAGATGCCAGTCCTTTTGATTTCTTTCGTTTGTATTTTGATGAAGAAGTGGTATCCCTGTTGGTAAATCAAACAAACAATTATGCTCAACAATGTCTTGGAGGGCCCAATATAAAAAGAAGTGCAAGAATTAAAAGCTGGGTACTGACAAATCAACAAGAAATGCATATCTTTTAGGCATACTTATATGGATGGGTTTAGTAGATATGCCCTCTCTGGCTCATTATTGGAAAAACACACAGTTATATAAATAATAGCAAACTAACAGATTACATGGCTAGAAACCAATTTGAGTTGATATGGAGGTACCATTCTTTCTTCTTCTTCTTCTTTAGCATTCATTTATCCAATGTTGGACATAGGCCTCCTCCAATTGCTTCCACGCTTCCCTATCTTTTGCAATTCTCATCCACTGCTTTCCAGCTACAGCAGTTATATCGTCTATCCATCTCTTTTTAGGTCTTCCCACGCTTCTTTTTGTTTCTCGAGGTCTCCAGAATGTCACTTTATGAGACCATCTGTTGGTGTCTTGTCTTGCTACATGTGCTACCCATTGCCATCTCAATGTCGCTATTTTTCCCATGATGTCGGTTACTTTAGTTCTTCGACGTATTTCGGTGTTAGGAATTTTGTCTCTGAGGCTTATATTTAACATGGCCCTCTCCATGGCCCGTTGAGTTACTCTTAATTGTTCTGCCATTTTTCTTGTTATTGCCATAGTTTCCAATCCATAAGTTACAACTGGTAGTTAACAAGTGTCATAGGTTTTTCGTTTTAAGTAAATTGGGATTTTTCTGTCTTTTAAAATGAAGCTCAACTTACCAAAAGCAGCCCATGATAATTGTGTCCTTTTAATTTCTAGGGTTTGATTTTCGTTTTTAATTGCTTGTCATAGATATAGATATATATATATATATATATATATATATATATATATATATATATATATATATATATATATATATATATATATATATATATTGTTCTACCTTTTCTATATTGATGTTATCTATCGTGATGTTTTCTAGGCTGTTGCTTAATATCTTTGTTTTGTCGAGATTCATTTTTAATCCTATTTGATTCGATTTGTGATTTAAATCTTGTAGCATTGATTTTAGTTCATGGATATCTGTGCTTATTAGTACTATGTGGTCTGCAAAACGAAAATGGTTAAGATATTCTCCATCTATTTTTAATCCATTTTCGGCCCAATTTAGTTGTTTGAAAACATTTTCTAATGCCAAAGTAAATAACTTGGGTGAGATGGTGTCGCCCTGTCTCACACCTTTGCCAAGGTCTAT